CAGGGGGCGCCAAAACCAGCGACTTTGACAAGTCTTCTGACTGGTGACACTGGCTGGGATTAAGGGGTAATACTGGGTGTGCTGGGTGCTCGAACAAGATCAGTATCTCTTCTCCAGGTGAAATCAAAAACTAATTTCAGGCCAATTATTTGTAAAACCCAGCGGTTCTATGACAAACACAAAGCGCTGCATGAAATGCCCCCGTCATGTCTGACAAAACACAACCTATTCAAATATGTCTCTCTTTGTCCGGCTAATTACAAACACATTAATGTGATCCCTCTGCCGCCGCAAACCAACGAGTCATTTTCTGCATCACGTCCCGGGCCGCTCTCAGCCCTCCTCCAGTGGCGTTAAAGCCGTGTGTCATTGTCCGGGGAGGATCTTTTGATTCTGGGGGGGATGTCCGGTGCCACAGCTAATCCTTTTGACCTGACCCGGCCCTGCTGGGAAAACGTCCTCTCCCTCCTTCACTTTAGGGCCGCCGTGTTAATGATGAACCACTACCACTAGCTCACACAATTAAACCCCCCCCACCTCGGGCTGAATGAAAGTCTGCATGATGCTACATAACAAGCTCAGATCAGGACAGGATGAGCAGTCACTGTGAGGAAAAACATGTTGACATGCATTTCAGAGCTGATGATAAATACTTAAGAACCACCAAGGAAAACATCTGTCACCACACCTCATAGCTTCAATCTGAACTTTAGGGCGTCTCCTCCTTCAGTTTAATCAAAGAGTATCCTCAAACTGTTTTAGTTTTCTCCTCTCTCGCCTGACTGATTTTTCACTTTCTGCAGAAGCAATGACATAATTGTCCAAAGCAGTGAGGGGTAACCTCCCTCTGTGAGAGTGTTAATCACTGCCTTTATGTTGAGTCTGCATGATGAGGAAAAGACAACCGGGTTCATATGGTGAACCTATGGTGCAATAATTTCATCATCTATTATCGCCTGACGATGTCTGTCTCTCAGAACAGATGCCTATTCCACGGTCATTTCAGGGGGAGGCAGTGGCTAGCATTTAATAACTTCCAGCCAAGACTTCCTTCTCCATGCTGTGATTACATCAACAACATCCCCCGTAGTGGTGCCTGTTCACCTGTTTGTTGTGAGGGTTACTTCAACGGTAGATGATAAGTTACAGAGCGGCTTCACTCTGGCTTCCTTCAGCGGTATGGGCTTGAAAAAAGAATCTGTTACTCTTGTGATTTAACAGAAAAAACAACAGAGATGCAGATTTGTGAAAAGTAAAAACGCAAGCTTTGCCTTAAGAGGAGGAGAAAACGTTAAATATGTGTTGAATGGAGGTCAGATCGAACATTTCTGATGCATTTCAGGTAGTCAGGAAATCTAAAAAATAGCGTATTAATAGTGTTTTATTGAACGGTCCAGTGTTTCACATTTGTAGAATTTTCTCCGGGGAGAACATTTAAAAAAAAAAAAAAGTCTGATTCTGCAGCATGTTGATCACAAAGTGATTAACAGCATGGACTTAATCACTTTGTCTGGCACCTACCCCACCTCACCTCCAAACATCGCAAACAAACTCCTGCATACTGTCTGCACTGCAAAATGACACTGGCAACGTTTCAGTTCTGATATGATACCAAGGTTTCTTTTTTAAAGGTTTATTCTTGGGCTTAGAGTCAGAAACAGAGGAGAGAGAGAGAGAGAGAGAGAGAGAGAGAGAGAGAGAGAGAGAGAGAGAGAGAGAGAGAGAGAGAGAGGGGAATGACATGTCGGATTCGAACCAGGGCCTCCCGCTTAGAGCACTTTTCGGTCCATGACCCCCCCAAAGTAAGTGCTAGAGACTGGGGACCCACACTGTCCATGGATGTGTTTAAAACATCTATACCATTGCACACAGCAGGAGAAGGCTTTCCAAACATTGGCATTAGAACACAACTGCCTTAACACCGTAATATTATTATAGTCATTTATTGGAAGATATGTAGAAGCAGAACATACAGAACACACCTGCTGCTGGAATCTGAATTTCCTGAGGGAACCTTCCAAGGATTAATAAAGTTCCTATCTATAAATAATCTCTTGAAATATTTTTTTGTACATATTTTCAGTTTTATCTGTTTTTGAAAGAATTCTCACGACCCCCTTCTCACTGTCTTGCGACCATTTTTATTTATTTTTACAGTGCACTGCAACAGACAAAAACAAAGTGATTACCTGTTTGCTTTTCTCTCGACCAATTTAAAGTGTTTGCTTCGACTGCTGAGTGTGTGATCGTAAACTGATTAGAGCTTCAAAAGGACTTCATTAAGAACCAAACACAACACGCCCGGGGGCTCGATCGATATCAACAAAAGGCCGCAAGTACACAAACAATCAAATTCATACTCTGCACACCCGATCCATGAGTCGATGTTAATAGCACCGCTCATTTTGACTTTACCAGGCGACGGCAGAAAGACATCTGTGGAAGCTCGAATCGATACCGGCGACTGAAGTGGAATTCAGCATGCACACCTCCCCCGCTGGGCTTCTTTAAGAGCAATAAGGCCGCTCTGGTCTATTCAGGTCCAGAGTTTTACACGTAAGCTGCAGAAAGCTTGAAAAAGGACGAGAGCCTCTTCTGTTGGCAGGAGCTACAGGAGAGCCGAGAGGTAGCCTATGGGATTATTAGAAACACAGTGAAGCTCTGTAAAAAAGAGGAAATATTAGACGTATGTCCGTTCACTCAAAGGCAGCAGAGCCAGGCTAACCTTAAGGCCAGTGTTGCTTCCTCTTAGTGTACCACGTGAAGCCTTTCTATTTAATGTGAGACAACATGACAACAAGTCAAGGCCTTTGTGAAGGAAAAAGACAAAGAGGCAGGCAGCCCGGGCTCTTAAGTGGAGGTGACATGCCATGATCAAAGGAGAGACTCTGGAGCTCACACGGGGTCAGAGGAGAACCTTGAACAGCGCCAACAGGCACGACGCCCAGCAGGCGCTCTGATCGGACAAATCTGGAGTCAGAAACTGAGAGACTGAGTCAATAAATTAAGTTTAAAAAAAAAAAAGAAAGATGTAATTTGCAATTTAAATGGCCCTCAGCAGTTGATACAAAACCCGTGATCTCTCCAGGACTCCCGGATCCAAAACAAATGCAACAGCCTTAAAAGTGTGAAAATAACAGGCTGCAAAAAAAAAAAAAACGCCTTCTCCCATTCTTCCCCCTTCCCCTTCACTTGGCCCCCTTGTGCAACCCCGCAGCAGCATGTCGCATGAATGAAATGCAGCGTGCAATTACCCCATTATCCAATCAAACGGAGTCGACACTTAACCATTTTGCGCGGCTTTGCAGCTCAATGATGTGTCGGGGGGGGCTCTCGATGGCTGGACCCCGCGTTGCATAATCGTGTGGATCCAAGATTCATGCCATGGATGAGGGCTGGAAGGAGAGCGGCAGCCCGGCCAGTCTCAGGGGTCATTGTTGTCGTCTGTGGCTGGCAGGGTGAAACGAGGTCTGGTCACTGACAGCAGCAGCACCCCGGGGCCTCGGCCATTAGAATACATAATGCAGGGCTAGTCATTTGGAAGGGCTCCAGATCGTGCTCTTCAAACCCCTTTTAGATAATTTGCAGCATGGCATCTTCATCAACCGCCCCCTCCCCCCCCGCCCCCTCCCACCCTCACCCTCCGATCCTGTCACACATGATTGGACGCACGACACTAATACCCCCCCCCCCCTTGTACCTTCCTTGAATCGTGGCCTTGACCTCGCAGTGCTCGCCCCCTCTACAAAACCAGCACCCCACCACCCAGCCCCATCAGTCCAGACTGGTCCACTCGGTCAGTCAGTCAGTGGTGGCCGGTGGCTATTTGACCCCCCGAGGGCCCGCAGCACTGGGGCCCCAGCTGAGGAGCCGGGGCAGCTGCCAACCACGGGCCACTTCAACCCGGGCTGTCCGGATGATTGCGTCTGTCAAGCCGCCACTCCGCGTCAGCCCGGCTCGGGTTTGATCACGGACAATTAGGGGTTAAAGAGAGGGGGGGGGGGCGGGTGCCAACTCTGGTGGTGCAGAGAGAGGAGGTACAAGTGATTCATGGGAGGGGGTTTCATCCACCCCGGCAGTGAAGAAGCAGACCTGGACGTTCCTCTGCTCAGTCACTGAAGATCAAAACTTCAGGCAGATGAAATGTGGGATGTGTTGTTGTCCTGACCTCCGGTAACCCCATCAAGCCACACCATCAAAATGCTTTGGCTTATTTTCAAGATGGCAGATAACAAAACAAACAACTACATTTATTTGACCAAAGTCAAATTTATTTCAACCCTTCACTTTCTTGAAGTATTCAAATATTTATGAATGTAGAAAAAATATTTCATTTCACCAAAATAAGGAAAACGTCTTATAAAGAACAGGATAAATACTTTGTTTATCTTTGCATGTTTTACTTTCATGAAATTAATATTCCAAATCACTATTTCTGATAAATAAACTTGTGAAAAACACGGACATCAGTTTATTATTATTAAGACATTTTATAGATATTTTGTCATACTGTGATAGTTATTTCAGTTTAAGAGAATAAAGCATACAGCTATAATCATTTCTAACATGTGTCCTTTCTTGTTCTCAGCTCTGAATGATCGGGTTGTAAATGACCACCATACCCGTCAATACAATCACTTACTAAAAAAATAAATAATCTGAATATAAACAACGGAACAATTCCATGACTCAACTCTTCCAGACATGTTCATGAAAAAGGATGTCTTTTTATGACATAAATAAAATACACTTTTTTTTTTAGTTAGTTTTTCGACCATGAAGTGCTCCGATCTCTAAGTGCAAAACTTTCAATAGAACGAGGGTCAATAGACCGAGGGTCTGGTTGCTCGTTTCAAGAGTCTCTTATTTTGAAAAATTATAAAGTTCCCTTGGTTCCCATCTGTTCGTCTTTTGAACCACATTTTCTTTAAAACCCTAAATATGTCCACACAGCTCGTTTAATACCGTGAGGTGAGTAACTGTCCCAATTAAAAAAAAATATTTTGAGGATTTTTTTTGGAGAGACCGGTAGGGAGAGAGTCAATATTTTGGGGGGGGGAGAGAGAGGAATAACATGAGGGAAAGGAGCCACAGGTCGGATTCTAACCCGGGCCATCTACTTCAAGGAGAGCAGCCTCTGTACATGGGGCGCACAAACTAACCACTCGTCCACCTGCACCCTCTGTCCTCACTGTCCCCTCTATAGCCTGTTTGGTGACTTAGGGTGGAATTATTAACACATACAAACCACTAGAATTAAGGTGAATCATAAAGATGATGATATTCTTTAATGTTTGTCTTTTTGTAAATGTTAGTGTCTCTTTAAATACTGAACTTATCATCGTTATGGTTTTGTTTCTCCCGTGGTTATGAGCACAAATGGAGGATAATGTTCAACATTTTGGGATATCTCAGCTGCAGTCCTCTGAATCAACTCAGATTTATTTTTTCAAAAATATGAAAGAACCTCAAATAAAATCAAGAATTCAGTTTGATGATTCAGTGACTATTTGAGCTCTGAATGCTCCAGCAATTTGAGCAAGTTAAGTGTGAGTTGTATAAGACATAAATCAGTGCTATAGACGCATGTTGGTTCTCAAACGACACAGGGCTTTATCTATGACACTGGCTCCCTCTGGTGGTTTGAAAACAGTAATGCAAGCATTCAAACTTCAGTCCACAATGACACTTTCCAGTAGCCCTCGCGGTCTGTTCACAAAGTCCACGTCAAGCTCTTGTAGTGAGGATGGTCGAGTGTGTGTTTGAATTTCCAAGTCTGTGATCATCAGCACCATGTCACCAGAGTCTAGTGCACCATCACCACCACCATGACCACCACCCCTCACCTACCGAGCTGTCCGGGGTCTTGGGCGAGGAGGCAGGCCTCTGTCTTTCGCTGTGCTGGGTTTCTGTTTTGGTCTCCTGGGTGGCTGCTCTGGACCATCGGTAGGGTGGGGTCCTTTACCCAGAAGGAAGTTCTCCCAGGCTGGGATGGACTCTTCCACAGACGCCCAGTATCTCGTCTAGAGAGAAACAAAATGAAACTTTAGTTTTGACGACTAGAGTCTCAAATCTGCACATATGACCTCCATGAAGGGGGTTTCATTTAATCAAGTCGGAATGAAAATCTGATCTAGTAAAGAAGTTAAAGTTCTGTGGTGCCACTTGAGAGACAGATGAGGATTTCAGACGCCATCACAGCACATTTGACTGACCGAGTGTGATGGTGGCGGCTTCTGTGTCTGCAGGTATATATGTTGCATGGGTTTATAGTAAGCAGCCAACTTTGGAGATGAAAAAATCTCAAAGTGAACACCTGCACTAAGAGTTACCTCTAGAGCCAGGAGATCTGGACGTGGCAGCGGTCTTCCCCTGAGACGATCCTCTATCTTCTGTAAATCCTGCAGTTAAACAGATCTTACATGATCATCCACACACTCTTTACTCTCTCACACTTAGTCAATGATTTGATATGTCATGGATTGTGAAACATGTCCCCGTTAATAGAATAGAATAGAATTACTTTATTGATCCCAAATTGTGGAGTTACAGCAGCAGGTTATCCAACACACAATATTAGCAAATTTAAACACAATATAATATTAAATACAAAGTGAATAAGTACTAAAAATATCAAAACTAAGACTGTGAATATATACAACCAGGATTTAACTAAGCATTACTAGTCTTAAATAGGAAGATTAGATATGGAAGATTGAATGTAAATGTGCAAAAACAGAGTAGTAAATGGACAGTATTGACACAAGTTAAAGTGCATGAGTGTAGACATATTATAAGCAGAAACTATACAGGACTATAGGAGTTTGCCTGCAATTTATTGGATTTATTATTTTAGTATCATATTCAAGTTTAAAACTCTTTAAGTCTTAGTTACTCCTTCATATTTGTCTTTTTCAAATTTTCAGAAAGCCTCAGTGACGTCTTCAAATGTCTTCATTTGTCTGAAAAACTGTTAATTAAGTGTTTTACTAAGTGCTGCAGAGTGTGTGTAATATCACAGCTTGCGCTACCTGCAGTAGGGTGGTGTTCCTGGCCCGAGCAGCTTCACACACCTCCACCTGCTTCCTCTTCATCACCTTCAGCTGCTGCCTGCGACTCTCCATCGGCTCCAGCAGCTCTGCTCTCCTTCTCAGACTGACGTCACACAAAGCAGAGAAAACACAGAGCTGCCTTTTTCTTATTTTCCACTTCAGAAGTTGTAAACCCGCCGGCGGAAAGTCACCAGATAACACGGTCACTCGTTTAACCGCAACACCAACAACAACGATTTTTTATTTTTTTATTTTTTAAAGTTGTTGTTGCCGGCCTACGTATAGAAATACACACCCATAATATCTAATGGAAACTATACATGAACATAATAAACTAAAAGAAAGTGCAGAGAGGTTTGAATTGGCCTAAAAAAACAGTAAATGAACGCTTTCATTCACAGGTGAAGGTGTAAGGTAGGCTGACTAGCTAGCAGGCTAACTGTGTGAACCAAACAGCTGTGGTCTTTATGACATCATTATTGACTATTATCGATTAAACTTTATCATTACGTCAGCACATTAAAAATGCATCACTCACATTTCCTCGTGTTTCTCAATTAATTCAATGTCTTCAGGTAAACACGACGACATCGCGAGCAACAAAGGCTCCTCTCAATCAAGCTAGTTAACCGTTAAATGATTCACTTCCGGATTGGAAGCATTTCTTACTTCAAAATAAGAGCACAGTCTGCGCTTGGCTGGAAATCTCTTCATCGCATTTACTGCAAGTTTTTACTGTCACCTGCTGCTGAACACAATGATCACACTGTCCTGTAACCTATAGTGTATTTGACTTTCATTTAGCCTGTATAAAATCACAACTAGATGGTCTGACTAAATAATAGCAGGTCTTTTTTTTACCTATCTAATTAAGACTATTTAATATAGGCTGTCAACATGTTCAGTACCTTGAGACTTTTTGATACTGCATGTTTTAAAATGTCGATTTAAAGATCAATAGTTTTTGAAAAGTAGGCCACCCAAGTCATCTTTAAATCCAATATCAACATACTTGTCCCCAGGGGCCGTTTCAAAGGGCACATTTGAAGCATAAAACAACAAAAATAGGAACAGCAATTAGTGCCAAGTAGACAAAATATATAGACATAGAATTTAAAACAAAACATTTAAATCAATTGAAAAAAAGTTATCTATAGCCTATTGTTTGGTTTTAACTATAGCTTCAAGGTTTAAGGTTGTCTTCATTATCCGTGTGAGAAGGGCATTTTTCTCTGCATCCAATTAAAAATCAACATACAATGTAAAATACAATAAGATGTAAAAGTCCAATGGACAACTTTACAATAGATAAAAACAGGTTTGAAAAAAGGAAACACAATTAGCCATTTAAAAGTCAACGGCAGCAGCAATCATCAATCTATCTATCTATCTAATGGACTTTATTTTGAAACTTTGCTCGGAAGTTGTAGTTCTTCTACAAACGGCTTCTCTTACCGAGGCGTTCTGTTACCATGGTGACCAAACACACGTGGAACCTGCTGCTGCCCCCTGCTGGTTTGATAGTCTATGGTTGATGGTTTGATCTGTCACATGGTTCAGGAGAGCTTTGACATAAATCTAATTCCACGAGGCTCATTTATTCTAACACAGACTAACTCACTCTAATTTCTTCACATCTCTTCGGTGTTGTTGTTTTTACTTACTCTGTATTATTAGCTAAACTCTAAGTACAATAGTCACAAATCTTTTGGATGTCTGCAAACGGTCACAATTCACCCAAACATTTAATTCTTGTTTCTAATCGGGTCGTTGGCTCAGTTAATCGGTCTATTCAACCAAAATGAAAAGTTGTTTAGCCATCCTGAGGAGGTCAAAAATGTTTCTGCCTTGTTTTTGATGTTTTTGTCATCATGTCAGTGAACCCTGGAAACATTTCTGATGTAAAATTCTCAATTTGTTTTCAACATTTTCGTCCACACTAACTGCTTACCGTTCTATAGGCAATAATAATTTTTCGACTCGCTGAATGACAAACATGTTGCCTCGATCATTACTGTCAGCTGGAGGCTCGTTTGCCAATTTATCAGACACAACAAACATCCCATGATACGGATATTTATGGAATAGACATGCCTGTCTGGTCCACTTTTACTAACTGATTGGACCATTTTGTTTGTGACAGCGAGAAAGTTTAGAAGTTGTGAAGACAGTTTCACTGAGAATCACCTCAGCAGTTTGGATCTGTAGGTAGGTTTTTGTGGTTAAATGGTAAATTTCATCAATCATCAATTATAAATATTATTTCATAGATTTCAAATAATTGAACTCTTGATGGTGTAAAGTTTACTCTAGCTTGTTCAAAATGAAGACACAGACTTTCTCTTGTTAAACATAGGCTACTTGTTAAAGCAGCATTATAGAAGGATTCGGTTTAGTACGCTTTGGCGTCCACTGAAAGTCTCTCCCACTCACAGCCAACGAGAGCATTTGTTGACAAGCAGAGGTTGTTGCTGTGAGAATCCAAAGAGCCATGTCGACTAGACTGCTTAAACATGAGACGATACACAGCGATAATGACACAGCCTTGCGTTATGTCACAATCTGTTCTGAATAATATCTGCAGGGTACTCTAGGCATCTTGTTCCATCACTCTCTCTTTTCCTCTTTGTTAGTTTCATTCCTCACCCCAATCGTTGAAGGGGGCAAATTGGGTCGAAATGGGGCCTAAAAGGAAAAATCATCTTGTGTGTTGCCAGCGTTATCAGAGGTGTAAAAGACACAGAGGAGTGGGAGATAAACGATTTAATATTCATATTTATTTCAACACTAAATCCACTCATGAGAATATCTGAGGTGAGAAATCAGTCCTGGTGGAACCTGAGTATGGACAGTTTCACAAAAGTTAATGTCGAATCAGAAAATAGCGGGGACAGCTAGCTAACAGGGCCACCATTCACATCTCCTCCAGCTGCAAGAGTGAGTAAGGAGGGATGTTGACATGTATGCTCTCGATTGTAAAAAAGTGGTTCTATGCTGTGTTAATGACTAGTGACAGCAGCCAATGATATGCGATAATATCATGTCAACTGAAGTGTGTCAATAAAGTTTTTCTCCCTCCTCAGAGAGTGTGAGATCCAGTTCGGGCCCCACATTGTCTTTATTCCTCTGTATATATTTCGGTCTCTAGTTTTGGGTAAGAACGCCGGGATCGTTGTGCAAACTAACTCTGCTAACAAGGGACCTTGAATTATTTTAGGTATATTTCTTAACAAACAGAAAGTGTGAAGCAACCTCTGCTGGTAACTTCAATCTGTCAGAAGGGAAATGTCCTTATTCTAAAAAAAGACACCACCCAAAAAGAAAACCCTCTGGAGCTTACACACAAATATCATCACACAAATCATTTCAGAAAATTACATCAAAACCCATATTTTATTTTATGTATAGCAATACCATTTACATATTAAATAACACTTTAATAGAATGCTTTTGATATAGCTTCCAACTAAACAACAACAAAAGAAAGAAAGCAGAAATCAATCCGTCTTCTTTTAATTCATGTTACAAAAAGAGGAACAAACGGCCACCTTCTCAAAACAGGTCAGCTGAGAGCAAGTTATCCTGTGAGAGCTATTCCCATCGTTCACCGCGTGTGACCGCAGAATCAAAGCGTCCATATCGGATAGAAACCAAAAAGTTAGAAAAGAAAAATAAACAGAAGAGAGGATAACATTTTAATATCACAATCACTGCCTGAACATTAATGGAGGGCGTGAAAGCTGGAGAGAGTGATTATGACCACAAGCTTGAAGCAGACGCTCACACACACACACACACACTCACACACCTGGATTCACACGATCCATCATGAACGGCAACACCGTGAATGAGTTGATATGATTAAGAACAGATTGGAAACCTTTGTGATTGGCTCTTGAAAGTCAAAAATGGGTGAAAGAATTTTAAAAAAAATCATTGTGATGTAACGTTTCCTTGGACACTCGGACACCATAACTACAGAAGGGTTGACTTAGAGGTCAAAGAAACATATGCACATTTCATACCGATGTGCTGCCGCATGTTTGCTTTGAAGGCAACACAGAACTCTCAGACAAAAGTTGTTTAAACATGGAGAAGACAGAAAAGTGACAATCTTAAGGGCCCGGAGACACCAGCATGTTTAACATCAGAATTTAAATTTCCAACTGTTTGTTTCACACGATTAGTACATTCAACTGGGATGAATATTATGAGCTACTGCATTGCTTAACTTGTAAAGACGTACGATGCTTAAGGTTCAAAATGGAGGCGGCTACATATCAGTCGAGGTCAGCCTGTCTTGCTGGCGAACAACAGAGTTGCAGCACTCACATGGAAAGTTCATAATACTTGCTGGATTTGCTCATCTCAATCATAGGCTGTGCCCTAAACCGTATACTTTCATACTGTAGCATGAGCTGAAATCATAGTATGCTTTTTTTATTAAGTGAGAAAACCCGGATGTATTCGGATCGACCAGAATTTTTTAGTATGAAACATGAAGCATTCTGGTCACAATGCACTGAGGCTCTTAGACCGTCCAATCACAAAGCTCGCCAGCCAGCCAAGTAGCGGCTTAAAATAAAACCTCCGTGCTGAAAATCATTTCAACATGTTGTCAAATAATATTAAAATGACTACATATCTGTATCAGTATTAAATGTTGACATGTTGTTGTTGAATTCTGTTGAATGCTCGCTCATCGAACGGAGCTCAGAGTATGTATATTTTAGTTAAAGGCATACCTACAGTCAGGTTAGTATGCAGTATTTTGAGAATGTATTTAGTATGTAGTTTCGGACACAGCCATAGACTTTATAGGGTGAAGCAAAAAAAAATATATTGAGCTCCCCTTGCTGGCTGGCTGCAGTATAGTTCTTAAACCCCGCCTTCTCCATGTTAGTAGATGGGACATGGGGGAAACTATGAAGTTAAAATACATGTGAAATAAAAAATTTTCATACATAGATTCTGTAGAGATTTGGTCCAAGTGTATATATTTTTATACTGTATTATTGGTAAGATAAATGTGTGTTTGGTGAGCGAAAGGGGCGTGGCTTCAATTCCTTGGTTCCACCAGCCAGCTACCGTCTTACATCAGCGCCTGTCAGGGGGGGTATTATGGCTTCACACCGGAGAGACATGTTGTCAGTATTAATATACAGTCAGAGGTCTCAGTGTATTGTTCTGTTATGAGCCAGATAGACTTCAATGGCGAGTTATTTGACTTACAAGCTGTCGTTCATTTAAGACAGAAACCCTATTAACTGTTAGCCCAGCAGCAGCAGCAGTGGCTTTGTTATTTTTAAGGGGAAGTGTACATGAATCGTCCTGAAAATTTAATGACATGATCCAGAATATGTTTAGTACATAGGTACCAAAAAACAGAGGGTTTCGTTAATGTGTCACCCTCAACAACACTGCAGGAGAACAGAAGTAGAATCGTACTACCCCTTTAATTCTGCTTTCTAAAACAAAATCATGGTGAATGACAAAAACTGCAATAAGTAAGAAGCTTGAAGCTAAAGATAAAGCAAACAGGATGCTGCAGTGTGACTGTGAAGCAGAGCTTTGCAAAGACACTGATACAAGTACAGAGTGAAGGAATGGAAAGAGGAGGGCTGGG